TTCAGTCATGTGGTTCCCAGATACAGTAAGGTGTACAACATATCTTTTATATTTTGGCTAACCAACTAAAAAAAAAAAAAACCCAAGTAATTAACCTTAGTTTTCTTCTTGACATGTATGGCAACTAGTACTTGATTATTTGAACTAATGGTAATAGCGGCATAAGAATTAATTCATATTTAACTTAGGAAATGTATATGATGTTTCTATGATACACTAAGGACTTATAGGACCCGTTTAATTTAGAAAGGGGTAATAAAATCCCTTCTGGTTTTCACTTACTCTATATTCTAATTGTGTTTGGTATTGTATCAAGTTCTTGTCTCTTCAAGCTAGGCCATCTCTTTTCTGTATAATTTAGACTGATGGACTGAATTAAACCACCACATGTCATTTTATATCTCTTTATTGTCTCTTTGTGAGATCATCTGTGGTCGATGCTTCTCTGACTGAAAAATGAATTATTGAGTAAGGTGGTTAGCCCTAGCTGGTGATGATGTATCCAGAAGTGTATATGCAAATATTAGAAATATGTGCTCCTTCTGAGATAATAGAGGTTTCTTACTGATGGTAGATCATAAGTGATTCTGTCACAGTGTCTTGGAATTTTTGTAATGCTTTCTGGTTTTCTTTTCTGGTAATATTCCGAACACATGTCTGGTCTCTGTAAGTTCCCATTTCCTTCCTTCTACAATTTGAAATAGCTATCAGAATGGAAGGGAATTTGGGATGTTATTCTCATATAAAAAAGGAGTACTTTTCAGCTTGGCTTCTGTTTATTATAGGGCTGGAAGCTCTCTTACTACCAATTAAATGATACTTTGGGGGGAACCCTTAGAGTATCTTTTCTCCATTCTGTTCTACTTTTTTTCTTTTTTTTTTTTTTAATCCTACAAGGTGGCACAACTCCCATTTCCTTGAGGCAGGCAGAAGCCAATCGTTGTGTCCCTCGAATTAGCTGGCTCTGTAGTTTACCTTAAAATATAATATAAGAGAATTCTCTGCTCTGAAGCTTGTACCTTGGTGTTCTCTTGTTTATATATTCAACCTTATGATAGTAGGAGGCCTGGATTTGGATAACCACTTAGAGCCACTCAGCCACTTTCTTATCTGTAAAATGAGGATTTTATCCATCTTAGCTGTGATTGTTGTGTGGAGGTAGAAATAAGATCTAAATGAGATAATGCATAAGAAAGTGCTTTGTAAACAATAAGTAACAAAGGTTAAAATTATTTTTATTATTTTCTTCCTCTTTGAGACTACATTTCTCTTCCTTACATAAGTTATCTGGTTGATAAATAAATGACAAATCCTCTTGTCATTTATTCTTTCAACAAATGATTATTGAGCATCTATTAAGTAAGAGTCCATGTGCTAAGTACTAATGATCTAAGGTAAACAGATCCTCTTTTCTCTTTGCTGTTTGCAACCTGGCCTTCACAATGAAAGTATCTCAACCTGTTTTCTAAAAGCTAAGGCCCTATGGGTAAGAATAGGTTGGTCATGCTTTTAGATTGTAAGTTTGGCTCCAGTATAATCATCTCAGTCATTAATTACTTTTTAAGTACCATGTTTGGAGTTAGTCAGCTGAGAATGTCATTTTAGGTTTGCTGGCCTATTTTGGCTGTTTATATTCTTGACCTCTGAGTGATTCAGCTAGATTATCACTTATTTGCCCTTAGAACAAATTGTTGTCTTTGGAATAACCCTGTTTTCTTAGACATAAGTTGTCTTTCAGCAGAGGTGACATCTGTGGACACCCACTTTTCTCCTGTGATGACCTATGTCACTTTTTAACCTGACTCAGAAGGATTGGACCTTTTTTTCAAATACAGTCTTTTCTCCAGTTTCCCTTCCTTGACACTACTTATACCTTCAGCTCTGGGCTCTGTGCCTTGGAGAGCCTCCTAAAAAATTCTAGAAAGGGAAAGAGTGCCACCTACTGTTACTTGTTCAGCAACTACAGCCTGGTAAAATTTTCATTTTAAGTTATTTAGACAAACGATTTACTTAAAGTTAAAAAAAGAGAGCCATATTAGAGTTTGTGGTAGTTGAGACACCCACCAAATAACTATGAACTACTTATGGAAGCTATAAACTATATATATAAACTATATGTAAATATAATATACAAATATATGAATATATAAATGAATATATGAATATGAATATATAAACAAATATAAACTACATATAAACTATAAAATACACTCATTCACTCACTCACACTGTGATTATACCAGGGAGGAAAACATCTTTGTAGAATTATGCCCCGCATATTCATTGACTTAGAAAAATAATTGTGGGGGGTGTCTGGGTGGCTCAGTCAGTTGGGCGGCCAATTTTGGCTCAGGTCATGATCTCACGGTTCATGAGTTTGAGCCCCGCATCGAGCTCTGTGCTATCAGCATGGAGCCTGCTTCGGATCCTCTGTCCACCTCTCCTCTCTGCACCTCCCCTGCTCATGCTCTCTCTCTCTCTCAAAAATAAAAAACATTAAAAAAAAAAAAGAATTGTGAAAGCAATCTTCACTCTATTAAAAAAATGATTATGTTATAACATTAAAGAAACTGAAAAGGAGGAAAAAAACCTTATTACGTGACATACTTTTAAAAACGTCTGCCACTTTTGGGGCGCCTGGGTGGCGCAGTCGGTTAAGCGTCCGACTTCAGCCAGGTCACGATCTCGTGGTCCGTGAGTTCGAGCCCCGCGTTGGGCTCTGGGCTGATGGCTCAGAGCCTGGAGCATGTTTCTGATTCTGTGTCTCCCTCTCTCTCTGCCCCTCCCCCGTTCATGCTCTGTCTCTCTCTGTCCCAAAAAAATAAATAAAAATAAAACGTTAAAAAAAAAATAAAAATGTCTGCCACTTTCTAGGTCCCTTATGTGTGTATTCATGATTTTTACCTAATTTCCTACCACTGCTTCCCCCTTAATGTTTATCCTGTTAGGAAAAAAGAGAAAATCCTTTTCATGTGCCACTGGTTAAGCTAATGGCTAAATGATTCATTTGTGCTAAGGTTATAAAATAACCTCCATTTCTGCAAGTAAAGTTAGAAACAGCTGGGTATTAAAAAAAAAAAGAATAAAAAGATTATTTTGTTTTAACAGGTATATAATTTGTCTCAGAATATTCAAGAAGATGATCTTCAACACTTGCAAGTATGTATTTCTCAAAGAATGTGTGCCAAAGAATTGAAAATATAATTCTTATTTAATCGTGACTTTCCATCTGGAAGCCCATTTTAGTATAAGAAGATTGAATATTATATGAGTTTAAATTGACGTATGACTTCTTAACTAGAAGAAATTTTAATGTATGCCCAGTCTGTTAGAAAATTAAGTGCTTAACTTTCAAATGATTTTAAAGGCTCTGATGTCTGATACAGAAAGGCTTTACAGATATCTTCTTTCAGTCTCTTTGGGGGCGTTATTTTAAATAACTTGCTTTAATAGTTATTTACAGAGTACGGCAGACTTGCGATGGAAGAAATCTACCAGAAACCATTTCAGGTAAATAAGCATTTTATCCTTTTTAAAAACTTACCTATAAATAGCTATCAAGCCACCTGTCTTTTAAGTCTGAAGATACTTAAAAGGTAAGAGGATATTACAAAAAATTCATTTTTAGCAGCAGATTCAATGGAGTTGAAACTAATGTCATTACCACCTGATCAGCAGTAGGCTCACAGAATAGGAAATAGAACTAATGAATATAGTTTGATCCTTAATACTTAGATTAAGTGGTTAGTGTTTTCTCTTAGAGATTATTTAATTCCTAAACTTTAGACAGTCATGTAAATTTCTTGTATACATGGTAAACTATTACAGAATAATATTACTGGGGTTTTTTTGGTTTTTGGTTTTTGTGGTATATTACAAGTTGAGGTTAGTCCTGTTATTCTTTATTTTGGTTTCATGTAGAAAAGTTCCAGAATTTATTAGACCTGTCCCCTCCCTCCACCTCTTCAATCTCCATATGTTTTTTATTCCTTTAAAATGTCAGGTATAGAATATTAAGTCAGAAATTAACCTGGGTGGAGTTATTTGAGAAGCATATGTTATGCTTGCTTCTGTGGAGTCCTGTCATGACAGAGATTTAAAAAAAAACAAAAACAAAGTTAATTTCAGATAGTTTCTTTTTTGAAGTAAGTGTAATTTATAAGTTGACGTTAGTACTATTTAGTCAGTTGTGTTATAGGAGGTGGAATGACTCCACCCGGTTTGCTCATCAGTCTCTGAAATTCTTCCTGTGTGACAGCATTGCTGGTGATTCTCAAGTGTTGGTGGGTTTACATTGATTCTGCCTCAGTCTTGTCTGGCACAAGTGATCACTTTTATGAAATATCTGGGCAGCTTATGGCTTTTTTGTGTATATGGATAAATATACTCCATTTGGCCTATATCAGTTTTTTTGACCTGGGATAATTTTTGACATTTCTGGTTGTCACAGTTTTTGAAGGGAGGTTAATGCTACTGGCATAGTGCGTGAAGGCCAGAAATGCTGTTCAGCATCCAGCCACGCACAGCTAAGAACTGGTCCAAATACTTAGGGGCTGAGATTGAGACTCCTAAGCACATATGAGTAAAAAATTCAGTCTAAAATTAGATTAGTTGGTCTTTTAGTTATACAACCTTGATTTAAAATTATGATCTGTATGCCCTGTTAGGCCTTTTGTTCATTTTTTAAGACCCTGTATTATTGCTTGTGGTGGCTCTTTCTTTATATACCATGAAGTTCTCAAATGGAGGCAGTTGCTTGGTATAGGGGCTGGGAGTGTTGTTGGCTGAGAGAAGCCCTTGCTATCCATATGAGCAGTATTAACCATTTGGTTACTGTAACTTTTGATAAGGAATTCTTAGGGGAGTGATTGTTAAATTGTTAAAGTAGTGATTTTTTTGTAAAATCTTGTAAGAAATGATTTCCACTGTTTTCTTTCTATAGACATTAATGTTTTTGATTCGAGATTGGAGTTATCCTTATGAACATTCATATGGTTTGGAAGGTGGAAAACAATTCCTTGAAAAGAGATTGCAGGTAAACCCCCATTTCCCAGTGAGGAGAGCATAAGCACCCAGCCAGATGAAGGAGTGGGCTGTCTGGACTACTGCTTAGACTTCCAGTCTCTCAATGTCTTTGGCATAAATCGTGTGTCCCAGGTTAGCCCAGGTGGCTCCATACAGAATGGATGAAAAGTAAATTGGTCGTATTTCTGCCAAAGAGGCCAATGCCCTTGAATAGAAACTAAGGAACAAGTATTTCTCTTTAGAACCAACTGTAAATCAGTACTCAAAATATAAAAATTTGAAGGAGACTAACTTTTTGAATTTACTTAGATTGCATGTGTGTCTCTTTCTGGCCCAGCTGAGCTTCTGAACATTTGGGACAGCCTGGATAATATAGTGTGCATATATTGAACACAGATGATGTGAGACCCTCTCTCCAAAGAGATGTCACTATCCTAGATTGACAGCATATAGAGCTAGAAGAGGGATCTTAAACATCATCTATTTAAAAAATTTTTTAAATTATTTTTTTTATTTTGAGAGAGAGAGTGTGCACAAGCTGGGGAGAGGGGGAGAAGGGAAGAGAGAGAGAATCTTAAGCAGGCTCCATGCTCACCAAGCATGGGGCTTGGTCCTACCACCCTGGGATCATGACCTGAGTTGAAATCAAGTCAGATGCTCAACTGACTGAGCCACCCAGGTGCCCTCACCCTTCTTTTTTTTAATATATAATATAACTGGAACCCAAAACAGTGACGTACCTTAACTAATTGTTGATAACTGGGACTAGCACCCAAATATCCGGACTCCTGGCCCATGTAATATGCTACACCAAGGCCATTCCTAAAGAATAACCTCACCAACATGATCCTTTCTTCCTAAAGTTACCCTCCCCTGGAAGTACTTGGGGAAACCCTCAGGTCAGATACTACTCACCTACTCACATACACAAAGAATACATGAAAATCCCATAAATTCATAAGTAGAAGGGTCATCTTTTTTTGGTTAATAAAATTTTATTTCCCTTTAGAATGATGCATTTAGTTTCTCAACCACATTCAAAAACTTGGAGTATAATATAATTTTCTTATCACTAAAATGAGATTAAGCCAATTCCTCATTTTTGGGTTTTTTGAAAGGCATTTCTAGACCCTGTTGTCAGAGATAATTTCAGCCGTCAGAGTTTTCTCTGGTTTGTTCAGAAGAAATTAACACAAAGCACATCAGGCATGTTAACAACTCAGAATCATGTACTTCAAAGACAAGATTTTTTTTTTTTTTTTATCTCATTGACATGATACAGGAAACTGCTCAGATGATGATGAATTTATACAAACTGAACACAGGTGCGTAACAGCACCCATTTTCATCCACTGACCCCCAAGCCCTCTGGTACTGTCCTGACCTGACAGGTGCTGTGTGTACTTTTTATGAAAGGAACCACATACAACATGTATTCTTTTGTGTCTAGCTTCTTTTGCTTAATATTATGTTTCTGAGATATTGTTGCATGTAGTTTCGTTCATTTATTCTCATTGCTATGCGGTGTTCCATTACATGAATAGACAACAGTTTCTTCATTCTACTCTTGATGGAGATTTAGGTAGTTTCCAGGTTTTGTCAGTTATAAATGGTGCATTTTTTTTTTTTTTAAACGGTGTTTGAGAAGAGTCTGAGTGAGTATATGAGTTATATTGGGATAAGTAGCTACTAAAAAAATTGAAGTTTGAGGGGCTGGGTGGCTCGACTCTTGATTTCTGCTCAGGTCATGATCTTATGGTTTGATCCAGCCCTGTGTTTAGCTCTGCGCTGACAGTGCGGAGGCTGCTTGGGATTCTCATTCTCTCTCTCTCTCTCTCTTTCTCTCTCTCTCTCTGTCTCTCTGCCCTCTCCCCCCCCATTTGCATGCACTTGCTCTCTCAAAATAAACATTAAAAACAAACAAATAAATTAAATAAAAGTCTAAGTTTAGGATTTTCTTCCAGAAAATACATAGCAGTCTCTCTTCCCAAAACACTGGTAACTAGCATCAATCATAAATAATCATTTGGAGTAAGTACTGAAATTCCAGTAAGTTTCAGAGGTTCTTTGGACTTTATTGGAGCTTTTTCACTTGAGCTGTTATTTTGCTCAAGGGCTAACCTTTTTATTAGCAAATTAGTACTTTGTTTTTTCTCTTTGCTGTTATAAATACTTTAAAGGCAAATCCTTCATTTATTTACTGGTTTGTACACCACAGCCACTACTTTTTAGTCTGGTGTTGGATATTCTGATTAGTTATTTGTGCATTTGTATTTTTTCATATTTAACATGGGAAAAAACATCTTTTCTAGTTTTAAGACAAAAGTGGGTGGGGTCTTACTAAAGGGGTCAGAAATGCATCTTCAGTAAAATTTTATATTGTCAAAAAACACCCATCTGGAGTAGCATCTGAGTTAAGTGTGCATACTTGTGAGTGTGTTTGTGTTTTCTTGAGAACTTTTTTTCCTTGTTTGTGCCTTTACGCTGTCTCCTTCTGCCCTCAGGTAAAACAAAATCAACATGAAGAGCTACAGAATGTAAGGAAGCACATTCACAATTGTTTCTCAAATCTTGGTTGCTTCCTTTTGCCACATCCTGGTCTTAAAGTTGCAACTAATCCTAGTTTTGATGGGAGATTGAAAGGTGGGAATTCCCATTCTTGCTAAAATCAGAATTTATTTTTTAGAGGCTGAGAGTTTTAAAAAAAAATACATGGTTCCTTAAATTTTCTGTCTTCTACTGGAAGACATTTTGATGCATTGTTAATGAGGTGATATTAATGCTCTGTGTGGTCTGTCTAGCTTTCCATTGGGCTGTTGTAGACTTGTAGTGTTTGGATTAGCGTATTTTATAATGTGGTCTGTTGTTCATCATCGGTGTCCTAAAAATCCCGAAGGCTGAGAACATTTCAGTATTTCATCTGTTTGTAGTCTGTAAAATGTTTTATGAATATATCGTATTCATGTAATCAGATTTAAGTCTCTGTTTTAGGGATGATGTAATTTTTTGAGTATGTCCTCGGATTTGAGCATGATGGCAAAAGGCTGGAGGAATAATGAAATTTTTACAGAATGGCTGGAAAACAAAATCTAGTATTAAAATTTAGTATAATTTCATGAATTGTTTGCCTTTTGAAAAGGATAGTTTAGTCAGTACTAATGTGGAATTTATTGTGGTAGTCCACAATTTATTATTTGACCTGAAAGAATTACTGGGGCATGAGGGAAATGGAACAGGGGCGGAGGGGGAGAGTATATTTTTTCCTAGGAGATACGATGTGTTTGGATAAGGTTTTTTAAATGAATGTACTCGAGGAATAGATCGTGTATACACTGTCATTTCATGAAACAGAATGTTATTAGCTCTTACCAGTGGGGACTTCTTTACTCTTTCTTCTTTTGACTAACATGTTGGTTTGTATTTCGTTTCCACTAGATATTGATGAAGACTTTAAGCGAGAGCTTCGAAATCTGGTTCCATTACTGCTTGCCCCTGAGAATTTGGTAGAAAAAGAGATAAGTGGATCTAAAGTCACTTGTAGAGATCTTGTAGAATACTTTAAGGTAGGAAAACTGCTACGTTAAATGACTTGGTTTCAGTTAGAAATATAGCCGACTTAAAACTCATATGTATGTACAAGAAATTTCCTGTCTTTATTTTACAGCAACAAAGTGAAATTTATAATTTTCCCTTCTTTGCATTGGCTGTACCAATTTTTAAGGATATCTAAAATGATAGCAGACAACTTGTATGTTCTAGACGGTGGTTTTGTTTATGGGATTATCCTCCGTTTCCTCCAGCCCTGGTAGGGAGAGAAGAGCCATTCACCATGTAATTAATTGTAATGCCACTCTCTCATTTGTGAAGGACAGTGGATATGGGGAGTGGCATTCTGTCTCTTGAGTTCTCATAAAAGAGCCTTCTCTCTGAGTTCTTGAGGACTTAATAGGAGCAGCTGAAAGTATCAAACTGGTTTCTGAATCCAATTACTTGTAGATTTTTTTCTCTCTCTCTGCTCTTCTTTAGTCTTCATAGCTTGCTTGCCAGAGCAAGACCATTATCAGGGTTCTAGTTATTCATAGTAGTTACGGGTAGATGGAAGGGAAACTATAGTTAACTAAGAGTGTATTTTTGGTCATTTATTGGACAGTTGGTCACTTTCATAGCATTTTTGGTTAGTTGTGAAGTAATTCAGTCAGTAGAAAGTTGAGATGAACAATTTCTATATGGACTTGTTAAAAACTGTCATCTTTCCTTCTTACTCTTAGAGCACAAATTAGGTAATTTTTTTCTTGAACTGAAATATCATTTAACTTGATTGAAGTGAAATATTGAGTAAAAATGTCTAACATTTAAAACAGTAACAGTAGGGGAGAATTATGGATTCCTTTTCATAAAGTGGGTGGCATTGTATATGTTACTTTTAAATATAACTTTTATGCACGTTGGAATTCTATTTAGAAACATCTCTCTAGGATATTATTTAGCATATGTTTAAAAGTATGAATTATTTTTATATTTAATGGATTTTTTTTTCCCTTCAGAAATCTAGAGCCAATTGTTTAACCTGCCAATGTAAAGAGTCTTTTATATTTTTAGGCTTACATTAAGATTTATCAAGGAGAGGAACTTCCACATCCAAAGTCCATGCTTCAGGTAGTGTGTGTGTTGTACGTATATTTATTTTTGAAGGAGAAGAGTCTTTGGTTTAGAGATAAACGCTGGAAGTGGGATCATGCTTCTTTGCACGCAAATGAATTTCAGATATTTAAGTCAATATGGGTCATGGGTCCTGAAGTTTTTCTATGATTGCAGACCTTGCACACATAGGCCATCAGAAATAAAGTTGCTAGAGAAGTGTAGAAAACTTCCTCTTGCAGGAGATAGCTTAATCAGGGCCTGTCTAAACCAAACTTCTTCTCTTCTCTGAGTCTGTGACATTGAATGTTTTTAGTAAGGCTTATTTCATCTTGGTATTAATGATTTAGAGCTGCTTCCAGTACATACAGGTTTTTTTTTTTTTTTTTTTTTTTTTTCTTTTTTCTCTCTCTCTTTTTTAAAAGGTGTTCTTTGGGGACAATGTTATTTTAATGTTTATTTATTTTTGAGACAGGGAGAGACAGAGCATGAACAGGGGAGGGTCAGAGAGAGAGGGAGACACAGAATCGGAAACAGGCTCCAGGCTCCGAGCTGTCAGCCCAGAGCCCGACGCAGGGCTCGAACTCACGGACCGCGAGATCATGACCTGAGCCGAAGTCGGACGCTTAACCGACTGAGCCACCCAGGCGCCCCTGGGGACAATGTTATTTTAACCTAAGTTTTTTTTTTTTTTTCATTCATGTCCGTCACTTCTTACTAAATTTTACTAATTTCGTTGTGTTCATACTGTTAATTTTTCACCCAAATTTAGGTTTTATTTCTTTCAGATACATATCTAGTTTATGTTTTTTAAGATTTGCTATTTTGGACAATTTTTCAGTTTTATAGCAGATTGAATAGTATTTTCTTCTAAAACTCCTGTAGTAAGCAGTTTTGTGGATTTAAAAATCTCTTGTGTCCTACTGATATGAGAGAGCAAGCATATGGGTAATTTTTAATTCTATACATCTGGAGACTTGACACTTCTTAGGGTATGTCTAATTCTCTACAATTTCCTGAGCATGTGTGTTTTTTGTTTTTTTTTTTTTTTTTTTTTACAAACCCATTTTAACAAACCTAAGCAAAACAAAATTGGACAGGCAGTCCCATTAGAAGCCATTACTGTATCCCTTCTATTGGAAAGGAAAACTGGAAGTTGATAATGTTGTCTCTGGTTCATTTTCAGACTTGTTCACTCTATAGACTTTATTGTGTTAGTCAGAATTTATAGAGCCGCTGGGCATTTTTTGCATAAAATTGGCACATTTTGTTTTATTTTTCTAGGCAACGGCTGAAGCTAATAATCTTGCTGCGGTAGCGGGAGCAAGAGAGATCTATTGCAAAAGTATGGAGCAGGTTTGTAACCAACATTTACATTTGACACTAAAGTGAGACAGGATTTTTACAGTTAAATAATTGAAATAATTTGTGCTCCTTACGTACTGTCACAATACATCATTCACTGATTCCCCTTCATCATCTCTGCTGGAAATAACTAAGAAAATAATTCTCACGTTTAGAGTGCACGATATAGGTGGCAAGTTACTATGTAAATCGTACTAAAATAGTTTTGACGCATGATTCAGAGTGCTCTTATTAGCAGCTTCTGATGTAATATTAGTTTAAGGCCAATGACAACTTCTGTGCTAAACTTGCTAACTAGAACGTTAAAGGACCTTTTTTATGTGTTCTCTTTTACCCACTCTCTGCCCAGAGTCTTGTGAAGTCGGGTACAGATTTTTTTTTTTTTTTTTTTTTTTT